AAAAAAAAAAAAAAGAGTCGGACGCTCAACACATTGAACCACCCGGGTGCCCTGGGACCCAGACCTCTTCAAAAAGCTGCTGATGGGAAAGAGAAGAAAATAGAAATAAAATAAAAAGCTGCTGAGAGCTATGGATCCTCACCCCAGAGAGACGCTCCCCACATGCATTTTTACCCGTTATTTCAGGCAGTCCCCAGATGCCCTCCAAATAGGGCTCCACAAATTTCACTCCTGAAAACTCCTGATGTAGCAGCGGTCACGGAAACCAGCAACACTTGACCTTGACAGTTTGAAAAGTTCTTTCATTCTCTGTTTATTCACAATCCTCTGAAACGCATTGGCCTTGTTGCGCTCCTAATTCCATTGCATCGATGAGAAAATTAAGGCTCCAAGAAGAAAAGTGAGTTGCTCAGAATAGCCCGCCGGAGTCCAAACTGCAAACTTCATTACAGCCGCCTCCCTTCCGGCTGTATCCACTCACCGCTCCTCCCTCGCCCCATCATGCCACGACCCCAAACCTATGTCTTTCTAGCAGAGCAGGGGGTGGGAGGGCCTGGGGAGGGAACAGTGACTCTGGTGCCAGAAAAGGTTAATTGGCGTGGGTGGCACGGGTGTTCCTGGATCAGGTTGGCCACACCTTGGTTTCTGGAACCTCCCAGCGGCTCCTTGGGTGTGGCCCGAGCCCCAGTGGCCAGAACCCCACCTCTCCTGAGAGGCCCTGCCCAGCCCGGAGCAGCAGCAGGGAGGCTGTGCTGGGAGTCTGGGGCCTGCCGTCAGCAGAGCATGAAAGCTCTATCCTCTGCGATGCAGTACAGCTCTCCCCAGGGCCCCACTTCCTTACGGGGAAAGGCTTCTCCCCCCGGGGGAAGCTGTAGGACAGAGGTGACTTGGGACCGCTGGGTGCAGGAGAGAGGCCACCCCAGTGCTGGCCTGTCAGGCAGAACTGCCCCTGCCTGCTCACCCCACCTGCCTACCCACCCCCCAGCAGCCGGTGGCCACTTTCATCTCCGCAGCTCAAAGGCAATGCTGGCGTCCCATCATTAGCTGTTCAGGACGGGCGGCCACTGATACGAGGCAGAGAACCCGGGCCTCCTCGTTCCAAAGCCCCAGGGATGGCTGGCTAGCTGCTGCAGACCTGGTGTTGGGGCCTCTGGGGATATTTTTAGCCAGGAAGGAGAGAGAAGGTGCACTTCTGGGAGAGGGGTAGAGACCAAGAGAATGCATTACGAATGCTCGCTCATTTCCGTGAAGAATCCCATGCTCCCCTGCCAATTCCCAGAGGCCCAAGAAGCTTCCTTAACGTTTGGCACAGAGGAGCCACTCCCCCTTGCCCTCCTGGAGAACCGTTCTCTCTCTGAGCTTCTTACGGGCTTCTCTGTCTTCAGGCTGGCCTCCTTCCTCCACCCAGATGTCTCAGCACCCTGACCTTGGCCTCCAGTCTGCCTTGTCTATAGTGTTCTTCTTCAGAAGACTGAGCCGCTCTGCACGATGTTTCCCACATGAAATTGCCCCCGCGGACATTTCCATGTGGATGCCTGGCCTGCCATTCCAATTCGGCCTTTCCAAAAGGGATTATTTTTCCCTTCCTTCCTTCTCACACAATCGTGAGACCAGAGCAGCCAGGCCCATGGCCCCGCTATCCCTAAATCCTGATTCCGGCCTTGCTGCTTCTCTTCGCTCTTCGGCTTCCTCAGGCTGACTCCAGATTCAATCAGAGCTCCCGCAGGAAGCCCCTCGCAGCCCTGCGCTGCTCAGAGATGCCTCCCTCCGCTGTTCTGCACCCACTTCCCTTGGCTGGCTCTTTCTCATCCTCCAGGCTCAACTCAGACATCCCTCGCCCCCTAGGCCACATCGGCTCCTCCTAAAGGCTCCCGGGGCACCCTGGTCCCTTCCCGTTGGCATTACTCGCTCCTCATCTCCCTCCCCC